AAGTCCGACACTTCTGCTTCATACTTGGATATTTTACTTGAAAAAGACACTAATGGTAATCTAACAACCAAGCTATATGATAAACGTGATGACTTTAACTTTTCTATCGTCAACTTCCCTTACTTATGCAGCAATATACCTTCATCACCTGCATACGGAGTATATATATCTCAGTTGATTCGATACGCAAGAGCGTGCTCTACGTATGAACAATTTCTTAAACGAGGTAAATTATTGACAAGCAAGTTGATGAAACAAAAATATCAACAGTCTCGTTTAAAGTCATCATTTTGTAAATTCTATGGTCGATACAATGACCTTGTCAGTAAACACAATTTATCATTGAGTCAAATGCTGACTGACGTTTTTCATACCAATTGTTAGTCCATTATTTATACACTGAATTGACGACGGATTTTTTTCCGTTATTTCCTGATCATGACAACCAGCACACGGCGGGTGTGACCGGTGGACAGGGGATGCTCACTCCTCCATGGCACCTGATCCCACTTCTGATGTTTCAGAGGTCCGTGTTTGCTCTGCTCTTATTTTGTATATTGTTTAATGGACTGTGAGATTGAATACTGTTCGTTATCTCCATATCTTTCTTTAGACACAAGTTCTGCTAAAAGTTTCATAAAAAGCAAACACGGTACCAACCTGCCCATCCAACACCACAGCCTCTGACACAAATCAAGATTCTGATTCACAAGCAATCCAGATCAGAAAACGCAAAATATTACATAGTTAGATGATGCCACCAAAGTAAAGAGATCTGGAACAGACGGGCTTGATAACAACAAAAGCGTACAGCAAGTAATGCAATAAAATCAACTTAAATTTCAAAAAGAACAAGATTAAGAAAAATTTAAAAGGATGGATAGGTATCAGGAATTGACGACAAAACAAACAGGAAAGAAATATGGAAAATAATATTCTTTTTAAATCATGCCAGTCAGAGTTGTTTTTATTTTTAAATTACATACCGTAATGTAGTTTTTGTGTCATGTGCAGAGCCTCTCTTGTACGGAAAATGCAAGGTATTTAATATTTTTATTGCCAGGATGTATGGTTCGTCCCAAAGCAGAATTGATGTTTTTTTTCTTGTGCATTTTGCCATTTTATTTTGAATATTATTTTACACAGTTATAGTCTGTCCCAAGGTTCCACACTTCTCGCCTCATTTCGCTTCGATTTACTGACCATGGACAGTGTTCTGGTGATGTTGTGAGTCCTCTAAAGTGTGATAAAAGTGCTCATCTCAGGTAGTTAAAACCTAAAGGGGGCGTATTTGAAGTAGACCTTATTTTTACTAGAGATGGTTTATTTGATGTTAGAAAAACAACAAGCGGATGATTGTAATTTGTAATGACCACCGTGACTCGCTGGGCATAAAACTGGAGGAAAAGATTTAATGCGCGTATCTTTTGTACAGTGGAGCTGGGAATATAGCAGGCAGGGAGGAAAACAGAAATTGTTTATAAGAAATTTTATTACATGTTCACCAGTCTTGTTCCCATTAGATCGGTGTACAAGTGCAGCAATATAATTAGCTGATCCATACATGGATGATGCAGAAGACTAAGTCTTCATCAAACGCCATTAAGATTAAATACCACACCATCAAGGTCGTCAATGTAAAATGGACTAGAGTGAAAACAAGTGAAAAATTTCAAAACAAACTTGATTTTGTGAAACGCTTCTAAAATCAATGACCACAAGCAAATTCAAAGAATCGTGGTCCCCCGCTTTCGGTGTATTCGTTTGTGAGATGTGATTTTTTATGACATATTTCAGATATTAACGCCCTTTGTTAAACTCCAAGGTCGATGACAAAGTTCTTTGTATCCAACGAAAGGTCTTCTCACAAGGATAACATATGTGAAGTATGAAATCCCTAACTTTCCAAAAGTTATGGCCAAGGCATCGTCGCAAACCAGGGCCAAAATGTTCACTCCTCTCCCATGTAGGAGAGGTATATGCGGACTCCAGATCGTGGCTTGAGACGATGTGGCCAAGGTTAAAGTTTTTTTTCCACAAGTACAGAAATCTTCAAGGTGAAGGTCAATATTGGTATCCATGGAAAGGCCTTCTCCCAAAGAATACATATGTGAAATATAAGTCATATTATCTACCATTCAAAAGTTATGGCAAACGTAAAAATCCGTTAATTTTGTGTAAAAGTGGGTCAAACGTCAAGGTCAAATTTAGTGGTACATAAAGAAAGGCCTTGTCACAAGGAATACACATGTGAAAAAATAAAAATCATAGTTTAACTTTATCAAAAGTTATTGGCAAGGTTCAATTTTTTGTGACGGACGGACAAACGAATGAGATTTTACATATACTCGCTTTCGAGAAAGCGGGGGACAATAAAATGGTCGGAAAAAGTAACAAAAAATACAGGAACTGTTTTTATAACCAGAACCTTAAACAAGAGTTTTGATATTCCTGCTCCTGAGGACATCAAAACTTTGACTTCTCATCTATGCTAGGAGTTGAAGAAGATCGATATTAACAAATGTCAAGAAGAAACTTCAAATGGGCTATCCAACTTAAGTTAGTTCTTTACAATAAAAGAAGGGGACATACCTATTACAACTTCTCAGACCTTTCCGATGAGTGGGAAAACAAGCTCATTTTACGGAGTCATTCATATACACCCCCTCCCCTGAACATACACACATGTGTACCGCAAACAAACATAATTTAACCTCACTGAATGCAAAGATTCTGCATTATATCTACCACATGAAAGTTTTCCAACTTTGTCTATCCAGAATGTATATATATAAAAAGCTACTTTATTTTGAATAAAATTTTAACAACCAGTGTGTATAAGAGATGTGTATTCGAGCTTAAGTTTGCCCTAAACGTAATCTTAACATTTTTTTTTACATTTTATTTCTCTTACCATGGTTCATCTAGATATCAATCCCCCCTCCCAAGTCATAACCTTTTCACTACGGAAATGTTCGTTCAAGTTGACATCCTCACATTTTTTTGTGAATGCAATTAATGTAGTATGTAAGTGTAAAAAATATAGTACTGAAAGATGTTGGATTTAGAACTTATTCCCCCTCCCGAATAATAAATTGTCTTCTTTAAGTGTTTTTGCTTGTCAAATACTTTTCAATTTCGTTTACCCCCCACCCCCATTTTCAAATTTGATTCTAGGTGAATGCTATGTTAGCGATTTTTCTAAATAAGAGACCGAGAATGACAAAATCAACTTGTATTTAATAGTGGGGGTTGAATTTGTACAACATATATCGTTTATGATAAAATATGTGTGTTTAAGTGATTTAATCCAAAATAATATATTCCGTTTTCCGTTCCGCGTTTTAGCAACACCCTTTATATATGACTGTATGCAGTATGTCACTGCGCAGCCAACAATGACTCTCTTTCCCCTCTGATGATTTGAAAGAGTCCAAATGAAAGTTTCATTTCAATATGTCTTGAAGAATTGTGATTCGCTTAATTGGAATATTCCCATCCCTATAAATGTTAAACTTGACATTTACCAACATCAGTAGATCGCTAAACTATCTTACTTATTTTCCTTTCGTTAGCCAAAAAAATTATTTTTTAGGAAGTACGAGTACTGACATTCATTGTACATAAAATAAAAAATAACAATTATAAATTTAATTGCCAGGAATTGTATAGTCTTCGAAGGGCTTCATTTGCAGGCAGGCATTTGGTCCCATACATGCTGTTGTTGTTGGCAGTGCCGCTGAAATAAGCATCTCATGTGAATGATGAGGTGTTCCTCACTTTTGCAGGATTCAAAACCTTGCCATGGACGAACAAAGAAAATCCGAAACCCGGTACCTCAACTTTGCGACCAGTCCAAAAGTGCACCGCAAAAAAAACTTGGTTGTGGATCATTTGCTATCCTACGCTTACAAGGGAAATTTGTTCTTGGCATAAATCGTGAAGTTTTGAAAAGTAAGAAATATATGCACAAAATTGCAAGATAATAAGTCCGGCAGAAGTAGACAATATATATGATGATATCTGTATAGTTAGGTACGCCCTACTCCATCCACACTTTTATTTAACTGTGTGCTATGTCCATGCGCGGCCAGCAAAAGCTCTCCTTTCCCTTCGGAGGGTTGCTCTCCTTCTGTAGCAATTAAGTAACATATTTTACCATTACATTTATATTTGTAGTCGAGTCTCTTTTCTATAGTACCCCCGGCACTTCCCAAAGTTTGAATTCTTCACTGGATTACATTATCTCAAGTAAATGTTTAGATGATGGTTTCATAAATAAATACAGATGTCTTCAATGTGTGAAAAAATTAAAAGGTTCTGCATCTGAAATACTCTTACAAAATGAGCATTGCAATATAATGATTCTTGTAAACTCCAAATCTTTTATTATGGTTGACTTCTTTGGTGCTCTACAGAACACGTTCTAGTTATATAATAAGATCCACCTTAGGGGACGACCATTTGATCCTGAGGGGGGGGGGGGGGGGGTGGCAAATTTTTTTGAGACGGATTCAGATTATAGATAAATATTAGGGACTTCTACAAGGAGGTATGGTCATCATGCACGTGCACGCACGTGCGTGCATTTGGAACGAGTGAAATTAGAAATACACTTGAATGAGTGATTTTAATACTTTTGGACTGAATGCTTTCCCTATAGAGTACATTACAGGGAATATGGCACCAAAAGGGAGTTGGGGAACATCTGTAACGGTTCCCGTTACAATTAGCACTAGTTATTCAATTAGTTTGCGAACTTTTTGATTTCCCCTCCTATGTAATAATGTCGCCTACCTTAAAGTAGTATAAAAGGTGACGACGAACAGACAAGTTCAGCATAATGGTAAACGGTACAAGTATGCACAACAGTATAAGGAAAGAGGTGACACACATTTGGTGACTGGTTTAAGGACTCCATACTCCATTTTCAAAGAATATTCATAAGTCGCGCTTAGAATTCGAAAACGAGGCTAAGGTCGGTAAAATATGTAAACAAAATGTCGGCGTCTGAAGAGGAGGGGAAGGGACACGACAAGCACTGCTGTGTGCCATTCTGCAATGGAAATGGGAGGATCCACCCAAATTTATCCTTTCACCGAATACCAAAGGCCCCAGAAAAGAGAAAGGAATGGGTTCAAGCGATTAGGAGAGACCCTGGTCCTCTGTTTACCGTGAGTGACCTTCCGATACATGTTTCAAGAACACGTAAACAAAATCGATGCAAACTGAGCAGTTGACCTGCACTTATATAAACAGATACGTATTATCCTTTAGTTTATAAAATATTTTCATATATTTGTTAGAATATATATGGAATGACATATTATGTAATGAATAGAATTGTCATCTGATGCAGAGGCATGCATTAATCGAATACTAAGTCAATCAGCTGTTTATTCATGTATAGCTCAATGTCAGCTAAACCTTTATCGCATAACTTTCTGTAATCATAAAAATGTTAATTCTTGTATGAAAAATCGTTAGGGGCCTAGTATTAAATATTAACAATGAATGTTTTACATGCAAAGATTGGTACCCTAGAATTAGGCTACATCATACTTGTATTTACAGTATCTTACTGTTATCAACTATCATAAACCACCTAATCCTCAGATATCCCTAGATGCATCTTTTTAATTTATTGCACAAAGTTATGTCATAATGCTATAAAATGCTTACTGCTTCTAGTTAAAGCCATGTATTAGGCCTAACTAATATTTCAGAGTAAAATTCATTTCATTATATTCAGATAAGTGATCAAACAGTTGTCTGCTCTCGCCATTTTAAAAAGGAAGATATTAAATGGACTCCAGTGAGGACAACTTTGAAACCTGGATCTGTACCGTCAGTTTTCTCCTGGAAGGCGGATACCAACAGTCGACGACCAATAGTTAAACACACCCTTCCAGAGAAAAGACCAAAGCAGGAATTTGAAGATCATGTTTTAAGACCTGAGGAAATGGATTCTACTCCATTGTTAATTGAGGATGGGTAATTTTCATTGAATTTCTTAAGAGAAGCTAAAAAAGACCTGTGATTCATGTTAGTCTGTTGTATACAGTGGACCCTCATTTATTCTGTTGCTTTGGTTCCCAGTCAATTTGTCCGGATATGTGAAGCATCCGGATATCTGAATCACCAGTTAAACAAGACAAAATAACATTTAAAAATTTCGTTCCGATGAGAAATCGTCCAGATACTGAAGCATCCGGATATCTGGCGTCCGGATATCTGAAGGTCCACTGTAGTAAAATAAACATGGATTTAAATATATATATATGTCATGTTAAAAGTACATTTCTAATTTTGGTCAGAATTTTTGTTATGGTCAACAGAACAAAACACCATTACATATACTGTACTACCGTTAAAACGCAACATTAACACATTTTATTGAAATTTATAATGGTCAGTTTATACAGTGTTGATATAATATTTATTTGTGTCAACTACAAGATTGTTAAATTAATATTTTTTTTACATTTTACAGCATAAGGTGACTACATTTAAAAAAAAATACATGCATACTGATGGAATATAGACCTATAATCAGGAGTTTGAATTTTTCAGGAGATGTTTTCACAAAGTCAAATTTTACATGAATCATTCTCGGAAAAGTTATTCTTTTGTCAAACTGATTACTTGATAAATTCAGTTTGCAGTTGTAATCAACTTTTTTGAATGGTTTAACTTTCAACTGCTGCTGGACAGTAGAATGCTGGTCATCATGTCAGTAAGGTATGATTTTTTTATGTTGTTGTGAGATGTGTTGTATTTGTATTGTTTCATCTTGTATATTATTAGTAACATTAAGTTTCTTGAACATTCCAGAGTGGTCAATATGTTTGGTCATTTTTTCTAGAACATTCTTGAACTTTGTTTATGTCTAGAACTTTCCAGGAATATCATGTATTTACAATTTCTATAATATTCTAGATTTATGATACTGTATAAATACCCTGTCAATTCGATGCATAAAGAGATTGTCGTATAAGCATCATTGAGGTATTACTGGGATATAATTTCACTGGGACATTGTGTGCAGCGACGGACACTCTGATGTGTGTATTTTTAGATTTTTGCTAAGTTTGTACTTAATGATTTGTATATAACTGTAAATAAATTATTGTTAAGTTTAAACTGTGTGATTGATCTTTGCTGGCATTTAGGGTTATTCTGACCCATAACAGAATTGGGGGCTCGTCCGGGATCAAGAATTTCTTGCACTTTTGCAGTTTATTGTAAGATTTTTGTTTATTGAACTGTTAAATTTAATTATAAGCCAGCAGAAATCAACATGGTATTTTCGGTCACAGACTTTCTTAGTTCACCAAGTGTACAGGTTTTTGATACGTTAAAAAAGGATGACTTGATCGCATTAGGTTTGCATCTTGGGTTAGATGTTAAATCTTCTCAGAAAAAGCAAGATATTAGAATTAAGGTTGCAAACAAACTAGTTGAAGAAAACATCTTTGGAAAATACGATCTTCCAGAATATACAGTTAAATCAGAGTTAGAATCTTATAAAACGTCAGAATTTCAGTATCAAGTAGAGTTAGAAAAAATGCGATTTGAACGAGAAAAATTAGAAAGGGAGAAAGAGACGAGAGCGTGAGCGAAAATTTGAATTTGACAAATTAGAAAGAGAAAGAGAAGAGCGAGAAAGAGAAAGACAAGAGCGAGAAAGAGAGCGTGAAATGAACTTTGAATTAGAGAAATTAAAATTACAGAACCAACCAGGACCGTCAGTTGTCAAAACTGAATTTGACGCAGCAAAAAATATCAGATTAGTTCCAAAATTTCAAGAAAAATCTGTAGACAAATATTTTCCCCAATTCGAAAAGGTCGCAGAGAATCTTAAATGGCCACAACACGTTTGGTCAACAATGTTACAAAGTGTACTGGTTGGCAAAGCAGCTGAGGTATACTCTGCACTAGGGGTAGCTGAGAGTTCAGACTATGAGAAGGTCAAAGCAGCAATATTAAAAGCATACGAATTGGTACCCGAAGCATATAGACAAAAGTTTAGAAAGTATAGAAAGTTTGATAATCAAACATTTGTTGAATTTTCACGAGAGAAAGAAGATTTATTCGATCACTGGTTTAGATCTAAGAAACTTGATAAAACCTTTGCTAATTTGCGCCAAGTCATCCTGGTAGAAGAGTTTAAGGAATGTGTTCCTCAAGATTTGAAAACACATTTAGAAGATAAGAATGTGAAAACTCTTGAAGAGGCAGCAGTCATATCTGATACTTATGCTCTGTCTCATAAAAAGAATTTTGTATCAATATCTCAGACTAGCAGTAATTCTACCAATTCAGACACATATAAAAAGAGTGGTTCAGGGTCTCAGTCTTCCACAAGTCTCCAGTCTCCATCCCAAGGTGGTTTTAAGTCCGGTCCAGGACGTGTTGAAGGATCGTCTGGAATAGGGTCGCTTCCTACTTGTAGTTTTTGTAAGAAAAAGGGTCATCTGATCAGTGAATGCTTTAAACTTAAGAGAAAAAATGATTTTGATAAAACTCAACCACACGCTTGTGCGGCAGTTAGAGGTGATAGAGAAGCCTTAGTTTCGATTTGTTCTGACACTCCTGATGTCCAGGGTTCACAGTCCAGTTCAATTGATTCTATGGAGGATTATAAGCCCTTTATGTCTCAGGGATTTGTTTCACTCGGTGACCCTAGCGAAATAAAACCTGTCCAGATTTTGAGAGATACTGGTGCTGCACAGACGTTATTGTTAGAGGGCGTGCTTCCTTTGTCTGAGCAGACTTCTACTGGTGGGTCAGTTTTATTACAGGGTGTGGAGCTAGGCGTCATTGATGTTCCCCTGCATAGAATTAGTTTGAAGTCAGATTTAGTTACTGGACCTGTTATCGTAGGTGTTCGACCTACTCTTCCCGTTCCAGGCATTTCTTTGTTGCTAGGCAACGATTTAGCTGGTGGAAAAGTTGTACCAGATCCTATAGTTTGTGAGAAAATCAATCCAGATGTCATGTGCGATGATAAAGATGATGACATTTATCCAGTCTGTGCTGTTACTAGAGCGATGGCCAGAAGACGAGAAATGGAGGCAGACCATACTCAAGCCTTTGACAAGACGAATTCCTCTGTTGATATTGATTTGAATGACACTTTCTTATCTGACCTTGATGGCACTCAAACAAACATGGAACCACACCATATCAAGAAGTCGGTGACCAAGGAACCTTTATCAAAATTTAGTGGTAATGAAGATGAGTCAAATCTACCAGAAAGCCAAGGCAAGGACATCCTCAGCCGAGAACGTTTACTCTCTGAACAACATAAAGACCCAGATATCATTCAACTTAGTAAGAGGGCACTTCCACCAGAAGAGGCTACTAAAGTTGGAGAATGCTTCTATATGAAAGATGGCATCCTTATGCGAAAATGGCGACCACCTGACGCTTCCCCAGATGAAGTGTGGCGTGTTGTTCACCAGATAGTGGTCCCAGCTGCTTATCGTCGAGATGTCATGAGTTTAGCTCACGATACACCTATGGCTGGTCATTTAGGTATCAATAAGACTTATAACAGGATTTTGAGTCATTTTTATTGGCCTAAGCTAAGAAAGGATGTTTCGAAGTTTTGCAAGTCATGCCATGTCTGTCAGATGGTAGGTAAACCAAATCAGAAGATACCATCTGCTCCTCTCCAACCCATTCCAGCTTTTGAAGAACCGTTTAGTCGAGTGTTGGTGGATTGTGTAGGACCTTTGCCTAGGACCAGATCTGGAAACCAGTATTTACTTACCATTATGTGTACATCCACTCGGTTTCCTGAAGCATACCTCTTAGGAATATAAAGGCAAAGAGCATAGTTAAGGCCCTAACCAAGTTTTTCAGTTTTGTAGGAGCACCCAAGGCAATTCAGTCGGATCAAGGCTCAAATTTTATGTCGGGGTTGTTCCAGCAAGTCATGCATGAGTTGGGTATTAGGCAGTATCGATCAACTGCTTATCATCCTGAGTCCCAGGGAGCGCTAGAACGTTTTCATCAAACCCTAAAAACAATGCTAAAGACCTATTGTTACCAGTATGAGAAAGACTGGGATGAAGGGGTTCATCTTGTACTATTTGTTGCACGAGAGGCAGTCCAGGAGTCTCTTGGGTTTAGTCCTTTTGAATTGGTGTTTGGTCATACGGTTAGGGGTCCTTTGAAATTGTTGAAGGAAAAGTGGCTGACTGAGACTAGTGATCTTAATCTTTTAAATTATGTGTCTGATTTCAAAGAAAAACTTTACAATGCTTGTAAATTAGCACAAGAGAATTTGAAGAATTCTCAGATGAAAATGAAAATGTGGTATGACAAAGATGCCAGAAATAGGGTGTTTAAGCCAGGTGATAAGGTTCTTGTATATTTACCTATTCCTGGTCATCCTTTACAGGCCAGATTTTATGGCCCTTATGAAATTGAAAGCAAGATCAATGATGTAAACTATGTAGTTAAGACACCAGGTCGACGTAAAGAGAAACGGGTTTGTCACATTAACATGTTAAAAGAGTATTTTGAAAGGTGTGACCGAAATTCTGTAAAACCAGTTTCCACTTTAGCCAACGCTAAGACTGTTCAAAATTGTATTGAAAGTGATACGAGTGTAGAAATGAATGAGAAAGATTGTAATCAGAGTGTCCGCTTGAAAAACTCAGAAATTTTGGCTGATTTTGATGCCAAACTTGGACATTTGAACATTCACCAAAAAGAACAAGTTAAAAACTTGATGAATGAGTATCATCAAATCTTCTCGGATGTTCCAAAGAAAACTAATGCAGCTTGTCATGATGTTATAGTTGGCGACGCTCTGCCTATCAAACAACATCCGTACCGTCTCAATCCAATAAAATTGCAGTACCTAAGAAGGGAAGTGCAGTATATGTTGGACAATGACATTGTTGAACCTAGTAAAAGTAATTGGAGCTCACCGTCTATTCTTGTACCAAAACAGGACGGTTCCTACCGATTATGTACAGACTTTAGAAAGGTGAATTCTGTTACTAAAACTGATTCATATCCAATACCTAGAATTGATGACTGTATTGACAGCATTGGAAACGCCAAATTTGTCAGTAAATTTGACCTGTTGAAAGGCTACTGGCAAGTGCCGTTAACAGAAAGAGCAAAAGAAATATCTGCTTTTGCTACACCAGATGGACTTTACCAGTATAAAGTAATGCCTTTTGGCATGAAAAACGCACCGGCTACATTCCAAAGGATGATTCACTCCCTTCTTCAAGACCTCGAGGGATGCGAGGCCTACATTGATGATGTCGTCATATACAGCGACACATGGGACGAACATCTCCGAATCATGCGTGCTTTATTTGACATTTTAGCTAAAGCAAACTTAACTGTGAATCTTGAGAAGAGCGAATTTTGTCATGCTTATGTAGAGTATTTAGGTCATAAAGTAGGTCAAGGTTATGTTACACCCATTATGGCTAAAGTGGAAGCTATTGCAAAGTTCCCGATTCCTACAAACAAGAAAGAGTTAATGAGGTTTTTGGGCATGGCTGGGTTTTACAGAAAATTTTGTCCAAATTTTTCCTCAGTTGTTAGTCCACTTACAAATCTTTTACAAAAGAGGGTTAACTTTGAATGGACAAAGGACTGTGAAAAATCCTTTCATAAAATCAAATCTGTCCTTATGAGCAACCCAGTTCAGTCAACTCCAGAATTTTCTAAGCCATTCAAGCTTACTGTTGATGCTAGTGATGTTGGAATCGGGGCAGCTTTGTTTCAAGAACATAGTGATAAGGTAGATAGAGTTGTTTCTTATTTTTCAAAGAAATTTTACAAAATGTCAACAAAAGTATTCCACCATTGAAAAGGAATGCCTTGCTTTGTTGTTAGCCTTACAGCATTTTGATGTTTATCTGAATGTTACTTTGCATCCAATTCTTGTATATACGGATCACAACCCCCTGACATTTTTGCATAAATTGTCAAACAAGAATCAAAGACTGACTAGATGGAGTTTGTTGTTGCAGGAATACAACATAACAATTATGCATATCAAAGGCAAAGACAATGTTATTGCAGATGCCTTGTCCAGAGTATCGTGAACAAATTAGATTTTGTATTAGTGTACATAAATTTTATTTTAATATTATGTTTTCATTGACATTCAAACTTTTTAAGGGGGGAGGTGTTGTGAGATGTGTTGTATTTGTATTGTTTCATCTTGTATATTATTAGTAACATTAAGTTTCTTGAACATTCCAGAGTGATCAATATGTTTGGTCATTTTTTCTAGAACATTCTTGAACTTTGTTTATGTCTAGAACTTTCCAGGAATATCATGTATTTACAATTTCTAGAATATGTGTTGTATTTGTATTGTTTCATCTTGTATATTATTAGTAACATTAAGTTTCTTGAACATTCCAGAGTGGTCAATATGTTTGGTCATTTTTTCTAGAACATTCTTGAACTTTGTTTATGTCTAGAACTTTCCAGGAATATCATGTATTTACAATTTCTAGAATATTCTAGATTTATGATACTGTATAAATACCCTGTCAATTCGATGCATAGAGAGATTGTCGTATAAGCATCATTGAGGTATTACTGGGATATAATTTCACTGGGACATTGTGTGCAGCAACGGACACTCTGATGTATGTATTTTTAGATTTTTGCTAAGTTTGTACTTAATGATTTGTATATAACTGTAAATAAATTATTGTTAAGTTTAAACTGTGTGATTGATCTTTGCTGGCATTTAGGGTTATTCTGACCCATAACAATGTACTAATATAATTTTTGCAGAGTCTCTTTAAAAAAATCTCATTATTTTAGTTCTCCTCCTCCTGATGAAATACATGAAAAGAATGAGAGAATCCAAGAACTAGAAAGGTTATTGCAGAAGAAGGATGATGAAATAAAGAATCTACAACAGAAGATTGAGGTTGAACGATTTGGAATTCAGCGGTTTTCAAATGACGATTCAATGATTAAATTTTACACAGGATTTACTACAATGGCCATGTTTTTAGCTTTTTTTGAATACATCAAACCTACGGCAACATGTATGAAAAGCTATTATTATAAATCTTGTGATAAACCTTACCAGCAGGTAAATGTAGGCAAACAAAGAAGCATGTTGTTAATTGACGAGTTGTTCATGTTCCTATGCAGGTTGAAGTGTGGTCTAATGGCACAAGATTTAGGAGTCAGATTCAATTGTCATGTTTCTACTGTTAGTCGAAAGATCATAACATGGGCAAACTTTCTTTATTTTATTTTAGGAAGCATAAATATTTGGCCTAGTAAGGAACACATTTATGAAAAAATGCCACAGTCTTTCAAGTTGTTTTACCCCTCAACTCGAGTCATAATAGACTGCACAGAGATTAGAACTGAGCGTCCATCATCCTTAGCACTTGGGTCGAAATGTTATTCAACATATAAGAGTTCACACACATGGAAAGGGCTTGTAGGAATCGCTCCTCATGGAGCTCTCACTTTTGTGTCCTCATTATACACAGGGTGCATGTCAGACGTCGAAATAACAAAATTATCTGGCCTACTTGATCTTATGGAAGAAGGTGACTCAATTATGGCTGATAAAGGGTTTGTGCTGAACAAGGTATTAGAAGGTACAGGTATTTCTGTCAACACCCCTCCCTTTCTTCTTAGCCAAGGTCAGTTTTCAAAGCAGGAGGTAGAACAAACACAAACTAGTGCTAATTGTAACGGGAACCGTTACAGATGTTCCCCAAACGCTCCCCAACTCCCTTTTGGTGCCATATTCCCTGTAAGCTTCATTAAATAAGACAAATTTTGTGCATTTTTGACTTTAACAACGTTTTCCCAGAAGGATGCCAATTATGTTCAAATTTTAGCATTGCACCCAAGCGCATGTGAATGCATGTGCGTTATGACCATATCATCTTGTCTACACTATCTATATACTTTAATATACTGTATATTAAAGCATTCAGTCCAAAAGTAATAAAAATCACTCATTCAAGTGTATTTTTAATTATACTCGTTCCAAATGCACGCACGTGCGTGCACGTGCATGATAACCATACCTTCTTGTAGGAGTCCCTTACATCTATCTATGATCTAAATCCCATCCTGTTTGGTTGAAAAACAGGGGAGTTATAGCCATTTCAAGTTTCAGCCAATCAGATTGCAGCACATGTGCATGCGCGTGATTTCATGATTTTTTTTTCTAAATCATATTGTAGGATATCCTAATGCATGACTATAATTTAAATTTCAAAGAATTTCGTCAAAAAACAAAGGAGATATAGCCATTTAAAGTTTCAGCCAATCAGATTGCAGCACGTGCACATGCGCATGCTTTCATGTAAATTTTTATATGTCATGCTGTAGATCTTCATAATGTAGGACTATGTTCAAAATTTCAAAGGATTATGATAAGAAACAAGAAAGATATTGAGACTTTAGTTTCAGCCAATGAGAGCAAAGCGCACGTGCATGCGCGTGGGATCTTGCTATTTTGAGCATGCTATCTTGTCTATACTACTAATATATCCTTACATTATGAGTTTCAAAGCATTTCATCAAAAAATAGAAAAGTTACGGCAATATCCATTATATTGGTCATTTTACGTGTTGCACGTGCGCGCTCTCGCAAGCACGTGCGCGCAAAATGACCTTCGTTCGGCAACTCTACATAACATGCCTACTAACCCTAAAAAGGTTTCACCTAAGTCGGATGTGTAGTTAACAAGATCACTCGTGGACAAAATTTTCCCAGGAAGAAGAAAAATAATAATAATAATAATAAGAAACAGAGTAAAAACAATATGTTCCCCAACTTCGTTTGGGGAACATAATTATTGCAAAGCTAAGAATACACATTGAGAGACATATTCGTAGGGTCAAAGAATACCATCCTTTTGATGGTGTCATCCCATTGAGTATGACTGGTACAATAAATCAGATTTGGACTGTTGCTAATATGCTGACTCTGTTCAGAGGTCCTCTTGTCAAGGATTGGTGTAAATGAAAAACTTTATCAATGTGAATACACAACATATATTTACCTCGGTACTCAATATTTTGAGTTCAGGGTGTAAGCTGGTATGATATTTATGATGTCAACTAGTAATTAAATTCTTACAATGACTTTTTTTGTTGTTGATTAATCTGATTTCGGCTGAACACTGTATTATGGTTATTTTCTCAAGATATTTTTTTTTACTTCTTTTGATAAGGGAGGGTTTTATATATAGATAACATATCCTCTATTCAGCTATTTAGTAAGCTATGTAGCCCTCTGTTTTTAATATAGCTGTACAGTAAAACATGCTTATAACAAAACTGCAGTGACAACTAAGTTTCCTCTGTTTCAAATTTGTAATATTTGTCAGTATGTTTCAAAACCACAGGGAAAAGAAATCAATTTGCTGCATGTGTGAATTTGTTAGTCATCATTTCATGAAAAGTGTATTTGCTATAAGTTTGTTTTACTGTGCATGATAAAAAAGTATTTTAAAAATAAGTTTCAAAGATTGTTTTTATTCAAGGAAGTAGTCAAAATAGAATGAATCAATCTTGTTTTTCATTTCCTGCCACTCTTCATTATCAAAGGTAATCACCTCCAAATGGCTCTCATCACAGTGCCACACAAAGAAATAACACCAGGTAAGACCTGTCACGGCAAGCTGCATCATAACTTGGTGGTAGTAGTTATGGTTTTCATTCAGTCTCCATACATCCCCATCTTTCTTCAGATACACACACTCTGTTAAGGGTTTTACAGGGCACTTTATCTCCAGCAAACCATAAGGGGGGTTCATAGTTGGGTTGTATACCTTTCTGTCTGGGCTAGCAGCAAGCCAGGAAGCATAAGGACTGACAATGATTCCACAAGGGTATATGTTGACATTGTTGTTTTGCAACTGCAATTTAAGAGACATTTAATAAGATTTTTAAAATATGATATAAAAAAAATACATTAATGTAAGATCAGTCATGCATAAATTGTGTTACATGTTCCGAATCCTGTAAACATGTATACATGTACTAGTGATTGTATTATGCTACATCTTTGATATATAGATTATTATCACTTACTTGTTCAAAGGCTTCAGCAGCGACTGCCTCGAATGACAATCCATGTCGCATACTCTCTGTGACGACTTTTCTTGTTGTCTTCAATCTTTTAATTAAAGGTCCGAAATCTTTAGATAGAGTATATACAATAATTTCAGCATAAATTAAAATTTATATATGTGCAAACAAAATTCATTTTCATATAAAATATGTTGGAAATACATGTTTATGCAAATTTAAATTGATGCAAATATATTTCAAATATTGAAATGGTTTTGAATGAGGTATAATTGTCTGTATAAACCATGATAAGAATTTTTAAACACATTACCTGCTCTACGTTTCACAATGTCACCAGAAACAGATGCCGTTATTCTCTCCTTGCGAATGGCATGCCACTTGGGACTTTCTCCTTGCAACCTTGTCATTTCCTCAATTTGATGACACTCCTCTTCTGTCACATATATAGCAGACAAACTACCACTTTTCTTTTCATCAAGAATTACATGCAATTGTTGTTGCATAACATTTTCAACAGGAAGAAGTGGAAATTCACCAGCATCTAAAATATTTAATACATAATGGGATGACAGTTTTTGTTGCACAGCAAGTGGAGATCCTTTTGGAAATTTACCAAACTTTGTTTCTGTACATTTCAAGTCCACTTTGTCATCCAAATTCACAACAGTAAGTAACAAAGAAGTCTTGTCAACTGCCGAAACTCTGAACAAAGGTCAGAGATTGGTAGGATATCAGAATTGATTGGATTGTACAAAGTTGATCGTAATCCACGGGGTTGTTCTTGAGGTGATTTGGAATCGTAACCATGTACAACCACGTTGTCCGCAGTGCTTCCAGAGATCTTCTCTCCTCGTGGCAGATGCCAGGTCTGAGGCAGAGAAGTCTTCAAAACATCAGATGGTATAAATGTCATGTTAACTGATTTCATATGTGCAAGACAAAATAACAGCCCAGTCACATGCCCACAGTGTCCTGACTGTCCAATTGTACATGAACAAGAACTGCTGTCCACACTGGGACCATCCAGCAGAAAAATCTGCAAAATGTACCACAGCTTGTTGAACAAAACAACATAGAAAAAGTATAGATGCAAAACAATGTTATCTGTCACTTAATTTACAAATTTTGATATCAGTTTTTTTCAATTCAAATTACTAATTATACATGTAATTATGCATCTTATTTATCTAAATTAATTTTTTTCTTACCTCAATATCATGAGGGGATTCATTCCTGCGCTGTGACCTGTAGCATTTGCCTTTCACCACACATCCATTTACAGCACTGTGAACTAAATTTAATTCAGGAAAATTAATAATTTTGTTGACTTATTTAGTTTATAAAGATTATTATTCATAGATATAATTTAAACGCATCTGTTTTCCCCTACATTGTGTGTATAGATTTTAACACTTGACCATCGTACATCGTGATCGTAAGCAAAGTGAAAGTTCAAACGGAGATTTTCATACGTACTTGTGATGTTTGTTACATATCTCTCGGCGAAATATTTGTATCCTTTGGATATTTCCTTTTCTCCGAGACTCTGGCTTCCTTTCTTTATGAAGCTCTCGACAAATCCAAACGTAATATTTGGCACTTTTGTCAAGTCTCGCGTTGCAGACGCTTTTTTCTCCTCCATCTTTGTTTGTACTCGATACGACCTTAGCCTCGTTTTGAGTTCGATATGCATATTCATGAAATCTCATTAAGAAAGGAGTATTGGACTGACGATGGGAAGCGTGCTGGCCAGCACGGGTGGATGGCTATGAGGTCGGGGTGAAAGGTCATAGTTGACATATTTATATACACAATTTCACTACAATACGGCATGGCGTACGCCTGCGGAGAAAATCAAACGCCCGCGTTGTTGTCTCTTTATTCTCTTACTCCAGTATTTGAAATAATACCTTTATAAAATATTTTGTTAACAATTGACCAAAATTTAAACTTCCTCAAGTATTCTAAATGATCAACAGGTAAAATTCCATTCAGTGCAAAAATGAAAAAAAAAATATATTGTCCAAGTTTTAAATCGGTCGTCATTAAAAGACCAAAAACTGCTAGTAAATTTTCTAGACAACTTTCCCACATCAGATGGACATTGTCCTTTTTCTATTTGGCTTTGAATTTCATCAAAATGTTCAGAG